TGTGAATATAGTGTTTTATATGTGTGTGGGTGTGTGTGTGTGTGTGTGTGTGTGTGTGTGTGTGTGTGTATGTATAGGTAGAACAGATCAAAGTAGCGACAGAAACAAAAAAAGTAACTGATGAAGATAAAACGATTGTTTAATATATATTATTATCTATCAAATTCAAATGAAAAGTATTCTTTACTCAGAATCATCTAATGCAGGGGTCTGCAACCTGCGGCTCCAGAGCCACATATGGCTCTTTGGACCCTCTCCAGCGGCTCTTAATAGTAGTTAAAATGTATATAAAGAGCCAAATAATTTACTATAATATATACCGGTATCAATAGCTTTAGCGTTTTTTATAAGATGGAAAAAAATGAGATTAAAAGAACCAGAAATATGTTTTAAGAGACATTTTTCTATGAATTAGCTTGAAAATTATATGTTTTAACATTAAAAATACATGAATTGTTGATTGTTTGAGATGGCAACAGCTGATTTCCTATACAAGATTTAAAAAAAAAAGTTTTCTAGAAAAAGTCATGTTATATTTTGCGGCTCTAAAAAACTTTTACTTGGTCAGACTCTGGGCAAAACGGCTCTTTGGATATGAAAGGTTGCAGACCCCTGATCTAATGTATACAATTATGATTCTTCGTTTTAGACCACTATGGCCGTAGGTGCTGCATTGCTGTTTGTGAATGTGTTGAATAGTTTTCACCACAAGATGGCGCTGAATATAGGGTGTTTTCAAAACCTGGTCTTTCTGGACTGGATCCTTGAAAATAAAGAGACAGGAAGAGTTTTGGCTGTGGATTCAAACAGGTCCATCCTTCCCCGGCTTTCACCACACGTACACTTTGTTGCTTAAATAACATGGCTGTTAACACAAAAAGCAGGAAAACAATATATACTGAACTTCTCACTACAGTTGTTTTTCTCTTTCTTTCTTTCCTTTTTTATTGTTGAAGTGAACAAAGACTAAACTCATGAGAATACAGAGTCGAATAGAGGTGACAGCCACCGGGAGCAGGAACAAATAAAAGAAAATGTAATGATATAAAAGGGCTAGAAAGATATAAGTAAATCTAAACAATGCATGTATAAAAAAGATTTCTGCAAAATCTCTTATATTCAACAACAACAAAAATACTTAAAGTAAATTGTGCAAAAAAGCTATTAAAAATAACAAATGATAAAAAAAGATAAGCTATACAATAGTAAATTTGATAATCAAATAAAGATACAAACGTTGACAAGGAACAATAACTTCTCTGAAAAAGAATATAAGATGTAAGGGGTAATTATGACATTTGGGCAGAAAAGCAGAGCATTTTAGGATTGATGGTAGACATTTTCTTTAAGGACAAAGTAAGTATATTTATTTCATTGTTAAATGTTTTGATTGTAGGGAGAGTTTTTGAAGACGATATTTGTGTCTGAAAAATTTGACCATAATAATTATATTGTTAATTATAAATTATATTTGTTTATCTTGGGCAATGAAAAAGATAAGGAATATAAGGTATAAGGGGTAATTATGAATTACATTCAGACAGAAAAGCATAGAGGTTTTTTTTAGCATTGGTGGTAGACATTTTCTTTAAGGACAAATTTTATTTGAAAATAAATAAAATAAATAAATTTTGACCATAATAATGATCTTATTAATTATAAATTAGCCTATATTGTTTATCTTGGGCAATAATTTCAAATTTTATTACAGAGTGGGAGAGAAAATTTATGTTTAAGGATTTAGAGAGTAAGCAGTTATGAACTGAGGGTAAATATGTTTTGGGTTTTACTACAATAAATAAACTAATGTTCAGTTCATTGCTCTTCTTGCTCACACTGATGACATTTGTCAAGTTTTGAAATTAATCTGTTTATGTTTAGGTGGAATTGCAAATTTAAGATATTTGGTTCTCAATGCACAGATAACGTTTTTGGAGTATTCTTTTAACAGGAAAATTCTTTTAATTATATAAAGGATATCAGATATTTTTGACACTTTTCTTAAAAAGATGTTTTTGCATTTTTCATCTATTATATGGCTTCCTTCAGTAAATTTATTTTTAAGTTTAGGAACTGGAATGTTACTGAAGCAACCTTGAACTAAATGGATAAATGTTTGGGGATATAATTTGTCAATTTTTCTGGGAAAAGAATCCGGCATTATATTTATCATTTAAATCATCCAGTGACAATACAGGTGCTGGTCATAAAATTAGAATATCATGAAAAAGTAGATTGATTTCAGTAATTCCATTTAAAAAGTGAAACTTGTATATTATATTCATACATTACATACAAACTCATATATTTCAGATGTTTATTTTGTTTAATTTTGATGATTACAAATGACAACAAATGAAAATCTCAAATTCATCATATCAGAAAATTAGAATATTGTGAAAAGGTTCAAAATTGATGGCCCCTGGTGCCACACTCTAATCAGCTAATTAACTCAAACCACCTGCAAAAGCCTTTAAATGGTCTTTCAGTCTAGTTCTATAGGCTACACAATCATGGGGAAGACTGCTGACTTGACAGTTGTCCAAAAGACGACCATCGACACCTTGCACAAGGAGGGCAAGACACAAAAGGTCATCGCTAAAGAGGCTGGCTGTTCACAGAGCTCAGTGTCCAAGCACATTAATAGAGAGGCGAAGGGAAGGAAAAGATGTGGTCGAAAAAAGTGTACAAGCAAGAGAGATAACCGCACCCTGGAGAGGATTGTGAAACAAAACCCATTCAAAAATGTGGGGGAGATTCACAAAGAGTGGACTGCAGCTGGAGTGAGTGCTTCAAGAACCACCACACACAGACGTATGAAAGACATGGGTTTCTGCTGTCGCATTCCTTGTGTCAAGCCACTCTTGAACCACAGACAGCGTCAGAAGCGTCTTGCCTGGGCTAAAGAGAAACAGGACTGGACTGCTGGTGAGTGGTCCAAAGTCATGTTCTCTGATGAAAGTAAATTTTGCATTTCCTTTGGAAATCAAGGTCCCAGAGTCTGGAGGAAAAGAAGAGAGGCACTTCATCCACGTTGCTTGAAGTCCAGTGTAAAGTTTCCACAGTCAGTGATGGTTTGGGGTGCCATGTCATCTGCTGGTGTTGGTCCATTGTGTTTTCTGAGGTCCAGGGTCAACGCAGCCACATACCAGGAAGTTTTAGAGCACTTCATGCTTCCTGCAGCTGACCAACTTTTTGGAGATGCAGATTTCATTTTCCAACAGGACTTGGCACCTGCACACAGTGCCAAAGCTACCAGTACCTGGTTGAAGGACCATGGTATCCCTGTTCTTAATTGGCCAGCAAACTCTCCTGACCTTAACCCCATAGAAAATCTATGGGGTATTGTGAAGAAGAAGATGCAATACACCAGACCCAACAATTCAGAAGAGCTAAAAGCCACTATTAGAGCAACCTGGGCTATCATAACACCTGAGCAGTGCCACAGACTGATCGACTCCATGCCACGCCGCATTGCTGCAGTAATACAGGCCAAAGGAGGCCCAACTAAATACTGAGTGCTGTACATGCTCATACTTTTCATGTTCATACTTTTCAGTTGGCCAACATTTCTATAAATCCTTTGTTTTTATTGGTCTTCAGTAATATTCTAATTTTCTGATATGATGAATTTGAGATTTTCATTTGTTGTCATTTGTAATCATCAAAATTAAACAAAATAAACATCTGAAATATATGAGTTTGTATGTAATGTATGAATATAATATACAAGTTTCACTTTTTAAATGGAATTACTGAAATCAATCTACTTTTTCATGATATTCTAATTTTATGACCAGCACCTGTAACTCTCCATCACTTCTCACTGCTGTTATGGGTGTTGAGATGTTCAAGGAGCTTCAGCAGCGGTACCGTATCAGATTAATATTCCCACTGCAGAGGTATTAGAATCTGGTCCTGATGCTGATGTGTTTCTGTCATCAATTTATGATTGATTGATAACTTCCAGCTCTTACCTTGTTTACCTCTTCTGCCGGCTGGGTGGTGACCAATCATTTTATACCTTAAACTCCACAGAAAAGTAATATCCAGTTGTGTTTTTCATAAAATAAGCTCACGTTTCATAATAACCCACCAAAGGTCATTTTTTGGCCATGAAAAGTGAGAATTGAGGGGTGAAAACAGTCTGTCTCTGTGATGAGGCTGTTCCACCATTTTAGATGATCTACATAGCCTGGACTTGTTTACCAATCGGTTTGCTACCAACATTAATCATCTCAAAGATCTCCAGCACCTTTATTAGACACTGAAACTAATGAGCCGGCTTTGCACACGGTGCACTCAGCCTCATTGGACGCCATAGTTAGATCCTTCATTCCACTAGTTAACTGAAACATTTGTTTTATCAGGTGCCAAACCAACTGGGCCAGAATACGTACCTACATTATTTCCTAATCTAAGTTCTCCAACAATCAAAGGAGGATTTATCCAATGGCCAGATTTGAACACACTCAGGATCTAAAAAGCAAAAAGATTAATGCTGACGGAGGAGCAACAGCAAAGACTGGAGAAGACAGAAGGTGAATGACATTAAACTATTTATTTTACAGCTTTAGTTTGGCTGAAAATATCAGAGAAAACATGGGAAAACATTGTAAGTTATATTAAAAAAAAGGAAAAAGAAGCTAAGTTTTACAATCCATGAGGTTTTTATTGCTGCTTGTTCATCAATGTAGAAGTGATTACAGTAAGTAAAAACATCCACAGCAGAATATAATCCATAAAATCAGTTGTATAAAATAGGTGATAGTTACTTTCAATCATAGCAGGTAAATAGAACATCTACAGAATCAAGAACAAAACTATTAGAATTAGTTCAAAGGAAAATTATACTTTCAAAAAATCTTTAAAAAGCAGAAACTTCACACTTCTAGAGGAGAGTCAGATTTCTTTAATACATTATTAAGACAAAGGCTTTTTACCAAGTTAAAGCAGGTTCAAACTGATCAGTAAAAATAACATCAACATCATCAATCCTGTTTATCTTTTTAAACAAACATGTTTCATCATTTTAGGACTTCAATTTACCTGAACTACAGACTCCAGCCTCTAAACTGAGTTCTTTGATGTCCCGTAGTTTAACCCCATAATCCCAGCACCCCCTTTCAAGGTGGCTGGAGCTACTTTGCAACATTAATTAGCTTGTAGCTGACTGACTCTGAGACAGACACACACTTATATATGTCCCAAATCTTCATCTGAGACTCCTCTATAGATGATCTACTTCATTCTAATATCCATTGACCATAGCTCTAACACTGTGCCAAAAACAGTTGGAGTTTTGGTGGGCCTGGTTTCAACAACACACGTAGCAGGGCTGATTGATGCATTGCTAATGAAAGCCAACAAGACACTGAATTAGCTAAACTCTGATCATTTGCAGCTGATCTCTTAGAAAATCCTCCAAAACATCAGCAAAACTGAGCAAAGCTCATTAAATCTGTCCTAGCTTTGCTTTTATTGTCATCTGAGGATATTTTTATCTGAATTAAAGTCTGTTTCCGGAATATATCCAACCAATACCTTATCATTCAGCTAAAAGTTTCTTAGTCTCAAAAATAAAACTTGAGTTTTTTTTTCTAAATAAATGCATTAGGAAAAAGTTGTGCCACACCATGCCAAAATGGCACAGAAGGGGACAATCAGGATTTTATTTTTCAATTTAAACTTCTATAACTTCTCAAATGCTTGTTGCATGGACAGCAAACTTGCTATATCTGTAACCAAGATGTTGTTGCTGCACTTTTTTTGCATGAAAAAGATAATTAATCCATGTGTGTCTCATGTAAAGAGGTGGAGTTTCTTGATGGATATTTTATCAAGAGTCAAACATGCAAAATGCTTCTACTGTTTATTCCTGTGGTGTCTAACTGCTGCGACTTATGTGAAACAAATGCTTTAAAAAAAAAAATTAGAAATAATTCCATATCATGCATGAATAGATGTAAACTGAAAAGTCAAATTACCTTCTCGTTTAAAACCTTTGTCACAAATAATTCAGGAGACAGCTTCTCACCGGTGTGAGTTCTCATGTGTCTATTCAAATGACTTGTTAGAGTAAAACTTTTGCCACAAATTGTGCAGGAAAAAGGCTTCTCACCTGTATGAAATCTGATGTGAGTAGTCAAACTTCCTTTTTTAGTAAAATTCTTGTTACAAATGGTACAAGAAAAAGGCTTCTCACCTGTGTGAATTCTGATGTGAGTAGTCAGATTACCTTTTTTAGCAAAATTCTTCTTACAAATATTACAGCAAAAAGGTTTCTCACCTGTGTGAATTCTCATGTGAGCAGTCAAACTACCTTTTTTAGTAAAATTAGTGTTACAAATGGTACAGGAAAAAGGCTTCTCACCTGTGTGAACTCTCATGTGAGCAGTCAAACTACATTGTTTGATAAAATTCTTGTTACAAATTGTACAAGAAAAAGGCTTCTCACCTGTGTGAACTTTGATGTGATTATGAAGCTCAGATTTAGTGGTGAAGCTTTTTCCACAGGATAGACATTCAAACGGCTTCTCACCAGTGTGAATTCTCACATGTCCAGTCAAATGATGTTTTAGAGTAAAACTTTTGCCACAAATCGTGCAGGGAAAAGGCTTCTCACCAGTGTGAATTCTCATATGAGTAGTCAAACTAGTCTTTATATTAAAGTTCTTGTTACAAATGGTACAGGAAAAAGTCTTCTCATCTGTGTGAATTCTCCTGTGTTTAGTCAAATTACTCTTTTCAGTAAAATTCTTGTTACAAATCGTGCAGGAAAAAGGCTTTTCATCTGTGTGAGTTCTGATGTGTTTATCAAGATTTGACTTAGAGGTGAAGCGTTTTCCACAGGAGAGACATTCATAAATCTTCTGACCTGTGTGAGTTCTCATGTGAACCATTAAATATTCTTTTTTTAGAAATTCTTCTCCATATGTCAAATATCGGGAAGGTTTTTCTCCTGTATCTTCAGTCTGCTGCTTCAGAACAAGCTGTCCTTCATGAGCACTTATGGGGATCTCCATGGCTTCCTCTTTTTTCCAGGGATCTTCTGGCTTTAGCTGCTCTTCTTTTATCTGCAGAGCTTCTGGTTCCTCTTGGTCCAAACTGGAATTCGTCTCCTGCTGGTCAGAGAAATCCTCCTCTTTTCCAACATAATCCTGAAAGCGTTCTAGAAAGACAAACAGAGCAGAAAGACTTTCTATTGGTGAAGCACCGAACTCTATTCTTGAGTTTGAAGATCATATCAAGCAACCTGAAGATATAAAATTCATTCTGGCCTAAATTTGTTTCCCCAAAACTAATAATTAAAGAAAGTAGAGCATTTACATCCAACACCACAGTGACTGTCTGGCAAATGAGGTAGTTATGTGACACACTAGCCTTGGCAGCGCTTGGCAGGCCTTAATGATAAAGCCGTCTGGAGCAGCTTCCTTATTTTTGATAAAATTGTAGCAATCAGCAGGGAAAGGGGGCTCTGGGTTTTTTTTTTTCCTTTAAAAAAGTTTGAATCACAAAATGAAGTGAGCACAGTTATAAAAAGATCACAGTGCCAGAAGAATTCTTTTGTTGATAAGTTTAGACTGTACTGGAGGCAGGATGGACTGCAAGGCCTGGATGATGAGGTGATCACCTTCAGTCCCTTACATGGAAATGTGTCCCATTCTGGACACTTTGAAATCTTGTTTTTGCTCATCTGGGATCTCTTGTCTGGGTTCCCCATCAAAGAAGAGCAAAGTAACTTAGCCATATAACTCAAGAGGAGGATACTTGCTTTCACTGCTGTAAAAAAGTCATTTGACCAAACCAAATGAAGATGCTCCATAGAAACAAAGAAAAATTTATTCGACCAGACCAATTGAAGAAACTACAATAGACAGGATAAAGGAGGGGTCAGATAAAGAGAGTCAAACCATTTTAATATTGATACTGATGACCAGTAGTCCAAGTGCCATTAGGATAAAAGTTGGATCCATTGTGAATTTTCACAACTGATATTCTCATGGCCTAAGATAGTGGACTTGTATCTGTACTTGTCCTGTCAGATCTCAGGGCTGCATTTCATACAGTAGATCAAAATTTTTTTTTTAGAAAGACTTGAGTATTTTGTAGGAAATAAAGGAACAGAACTAGACTGGTTTGAATTGTATTTATCAGACCAATTTCAGTTTGTTCACGTTAATAAAAAAAATTCTTACACATGCTGCAGGGCTACCTGTGGAGTACCACAGGGATCAGAGCTGGGGCCAATTCTCTTTACTATATATACTATATGCTACCAATTGGTAGAATTATTAGACAACATGGGATTAATTTCCACTGTTATGCTGATGATACTCGGCTATATCTGTCTATGAATCCGGATGAAACGAAACCAATACAAAGACTACAGATATGTCTTGAAGATTTAGAAACATGGATGACTCTAAACTTTCTGCTCCTGATTGCAGACAAAACAAGTTATAGTCTTTAGACCAAAGTCTTTGAAAAAGAAGCTGATTAGTCAGTCACTATTTGGATGAGATTAACTTGATCTCAGATAATAAGTCATATTTGGTGTTATTTTTGATCAGGGCCTGTTTAAATCCCATACCATAGAGGCTTCTAAAATGTCCTTCTTTCATCTCAAGGAGATTGCAAAAAAGAGAAATCTCCTGTCCAGGGGTGATGCTGAGAAACTAGTCTATGCATTTGTTACTTTAAAGCTGGACTATTGTAATTCTTTACTATCAGGAAGTCCACAAACTGTAGTTAAAAGCCTTCAGCTGATCCAAAATGCTGCAGCCAGAGTTCTGATGAAAATTAAAAAGAGAGATCATATCTCTCCTATCCTGGCTTCTCTTCATTGGCTTCCTGTTAAATCCAGAATAGAATTTAAAATCCTCCTTCTCACATATAAAGCCTTAAATGGCCAAGCTCCATCTGATATCAGAGATCTGATTGCTCCTTATGTTCCTAACAGAGCACTTCGCTCTCAATCTGCAGGTTTACTAGTGGTTCCTAGAATTTCTAAAAATAGAATGGGAGGCAGATCTTTTAGTTATCAGGCTCCTCTCCTGTGGAACCAACTACCAGTTTTAGTCCGTGAGGCAGACACCCTGTCAACTTTTAAGCGTAGGCTTAAAACTTTTCTTTTTGATAAAGCTTATAGTTAGGGTGGCTCAGGTTATCCTGAGCTATCTCTATAGTTATGCTGCTATAGGCTTAGACTTCTGGAGGACCCCTTTTCATCATTCTATCTCCATTCTCCCACTCTGCAAAATCTGTTAGTTCAATCTCTAACTTTCTGCTCTCTCTGCTTTTTCTTATAGTAGCTTCATCTGGTCTGTTCCTGTTTTGCTGTGACACCATCCTGGAGAGAAATATCAGCTGTGCTGCTGCCATTAGCTCCTTTGTTTATAGATGCTGAACTTGGCCTGTCTTTCAGTGAAGTCGCATTAACTGTGACTAATGCCCCATTTACACTATCCCTCAGAAGCCGAGTTTGAACCGAGCTTGGATCAGTTAACCCTCCTGAGCTTGGGTTTTACAACCATTCCTCACCTCTTATCGGCTGTCCACGATACTACAGCTTTTAAGGCGGAAATTACATAAACAAAAATGGTAGCACCCATAACATTCAGGAATGTATGTGCCTGAGAATGCGTCCTTTGCCCAAACTTTATTTAGAGCCTCAGTCTCAGCATCCTCTCTGGTCGCACCATGCTCTTTTGATGCCATTTTTTGTTAAAAGGGAGAGAAGAATTTGTGAACGGTTGTAAACAGATCTGTGAATTCCAAAGCTAAAACACATCAGAAAACCCGCAAAATTAGTCAGCTGACTGTAAAAAGGGGATGAAGTGGTCTGCTCATGCACTGTTATCAGAGAACACAACTGAACTTTGCCGAGCCCTACTGTTGAAATAGCACGAGATTTAGCGCAGTTCGGTTGTGTCTGGCATGGTCTAGTTCAGTTGCGTTCTATCTAAACTCAAGTTATCTTTCTAACTGTGTTTGGCCTGTACTCAGCACAATTTCAAAAGGGTAGTGTAAATGGGGCTTAAATGTATATGCCCTTTTCATCCTCTGACATTGGAGCTGGCTCAGAGCTCGTCCGCCTAGCTTTGCATTTACTGGACGGGGCTGCCAGTGGAGTTGGTTGACAGTTGCCTTTTGTATCGCTGCTTCTGTCTCTTTGAACCCCAGTCAGCCTCAGCAGATGGCCGCTCACACTGAGCCTGGTTCTGCTGGAGGTTTCTTCCTGTTAAAAGGGAGTTTTTCCTCTCCACTGTCGCTACAAGCACGCTTAATGTGAAGGATTGCATTTTAGTCAATGAGTCTATGCAATCAGCTGGATTTCCTTAGATAGAAAACAATTTTACTGGTTGAATTGTAAAGTGTCTTGAGATGATGTGTTGTGAATATGCGTTGCATAAATAAACTGAACTGAATTTAATTACTGTTTAAACTCCTCACTGACAAGAGTTAAGAAAAAACTGGGAAACAATCCCACCTTAATTAATTTGTGACTAATGGGTAGGGCTGGGTGAGTTTTCAATTTAAATTTATTTTGCCATGTAAAATTTCTCTACGATTTTAAATGAGACATTTGATAAGTCGACGCCTTAAAAAATTAAAGTTTTCACAAACCTGCGAATACCCAATGACAGCTAATCAGCACCGCACGTAAACAATTAGATGGAACAGAGCCACATATGCATAAGAAGCTGGCAGCAGTGCAAAGCCGTGGTGAAGTTTGCAGCAAATAATTTCTCCAGCCTAACCGTAAAACCTAAGACTTAAAAATAACTGAGATCTCTGTTGACGGGAGTTCTGAACCAGGATCAGTTAAAATACTGCCCAGAAGGACGACATCGTCGAAAAGAAGGGTCTGAGATGTTGGATGGCTTGGAGGTACTTTGGGTATTTGAAGTCAGACGAACAACAGAGTAATACAAACTATGAAGAAGGAACGTAGCTACTAAAACAGGAAACACCAGCAATTTGTTTCAGCGTTTAAGACAATTCCACCAAATAGAGCCCGCACAGCAATTTAGATTGAGATTGGAAAGTGAGAAAGTTTGCATTACCACAGATAGTGGGGTAATTATAGTGAAAAAAACAAACCTCGAATACAAGGGCGTAGGTTTGATTTAAACTTTGGTAGGGACACTATTCTTCAGTTTCACTGGTCCTTTGCAAAAAATATGCATGCTCTTTTTTATGCTTAATGTGAGCTTCAGGGCTCATTTTGTTTAAAGAGAACAGCAGCATTTCTTGCTACATTAATACAAATCTTATAAGCACTACATGCACTATATGCTGTTTATCAATATTTAAAGCATCACTGACTCTGATTAATGTGGAATTAGGACTTTTTCCACTTTGAAAAGGATTGCATTTAAATTTACCTGCGACTAAGACAGTGTCTGTTTAACCAAATATAGTCTAAATATGTCTGTAATATGTGGATTTATCCTGTGTTTTCTTCTTAAGATATAGAATTGTGCAGAGGTAAACAGAGGTAAACCCCACTCTTATTTTTTATTTTTTTTTTATTTAATATGCTCTCTCTGGATCATGCAAAATAATACATTCAAGGGACAGCAAATAAATGTATTGTATTTACATGTGCACTGGAACTATAAGAGGAACTGACACTGAGCATTTAAAATATTAATATTAGAAGTTGTACATCTGGGCTGTGGTTACTCTGTGTAGCTAATTTCATGCATTTTATCTATGGCTGAAACAATTAATCATATTAACAAATTATTTAAATAATCGTGAACTATGTAATTGATTAATCGTAAACTGGAGTATAGGGCCACTAAAATGTGCCTTTAGCCGACAGAGCGACCCACTTAGAGCAGGAAATATACCAAGATTGTAAAAAATATGTAAACATTTTGCATTTAAGAAGTAAAAAAAAAATAGTTTTTGTCTGTCAATATTCTCCATCCAGAACTCCTCCAAAGGAAACGTTTAAACGTTTATGTTTCACCTGGTTTCATTTCATAAAAGATCTTCTTTAAGTAGCCTTTGGCTATCTGATTAAAAGATAAAATGAAAGAAATCCTAACGTTGTTAACTTACATTTCTCAAGTTCCACAAATCAAAAAACTCTCTTCTACTTCTTTACAGAACTCCAGTCAGAAGCTTTCGCCTGTTTTAGCGTAGATAATATATTTT